GGATCAAATTTTTTGTCAAATGTACATTGAAAAAATTTCGGTCACGTATGATCGGAATTGCGGGCAGGACTAGTGCGCAAAATATATTTACAATTCTTTTCACTGCAGATAATATTACAAAGCTATGAGCATTGGCGTTTTGAGTGATGGTCCTAGTAGATAAAGGATAAAGGATAAAGTCTTCGCCGTTGATCAATCCCTTTGTGGGATGCGGCACGCATTCTACTTCCATTCAGAATCGTAGTGGCTTATTGAATGCGATGTGGCCTATACAATGACTTGCGGTGGCCAGCCGATGTACAAGTCAGTGTTTTATCCTCCCAGACGAATCTGGTACCAATTCACCGTCCCCGGAGGGTAGAAGGCTTGGTTGGCCTGGGCGGGAGTCGACCCGGGATTTGAACCCGGGACCGCGCGGGTGGTAAGCGCGCCACTTGTCAATACACCACCTCCGCTTCTCTTAGTAGAACTAGTTAAAAAATACATAAGTGATTGCAGGCAGAGCGGCTCTCATGTCGCTGGACCACCCGGCTCAGTGCATGGATGGTGGCATATTGGTGGATGCAATCGTCACCGCTCTCTCCGATTCAACCAAAGATTTCTGCCAGTCGGCTATCGTAGGACTGCGCCACATTAATGACGTGTGTCGAGTAGTGATACCGGATTTGGAAGTGGTGATTAATAATTTTTGTTCTGGCAGGTTCCGAAATATACTAACCCCTTGCATGTGAACGATTTCAGATGCCACGAATACCATTTGTGCGCTATTTAATAGAGAGTGTGAGCTCACTGTGCTATGCTTCATCATGGTTTGTAAGATTGGGAGGAGCTAGTGGTCTGATGTATTTCATAGAAAATTATCCGGATTCCGTGGTTCTCACCAATATGAGTGGATTTATCGAGAGCTTGATCGAGGTAGTTTTGACTAACACCTTCAGTTTCTCATTGCGGTTCACCAAATCGATGTCACAGGTTCTTGTTGGTATGACAGATCAAGTCTCTTGCGGTGCCGTGGATATGGCGGTTGGAGCTATTGAGAAATTGCAGAAGCGATGTCTTGCTGTTAGTGCCTTTGTGCTACTGAATTTCGGGTTTTCTGTTCGCACTACATAGCATTATATGATTTAGGGTTGTTTGGTCAACGATCCGAAAGTTTCCATTTTCATGAACTGCGTTGCTGGTCACTTGTTTAGCGGAAATCAACACGTGCGACAGAAGGTAGGCTTATGGTTAACACGTTCCGGACCGCGTGACACACATGGTGTGTCATGCATTTGCCCCTATGTGGCGTTTTATTTGATTATTCTGACTTTTCTTTCATGTTCTATTGTTGCGAAAACACGTTTTTTGTTATCAAGATATCCTTTTCCAAAAGTGATTGAAAAGAGGGAGAGAATTACTGTTCAATTGTTGAGGAAAAAATGATGAAATGATCGCGACCATGCAGTACGGCGGTCCGCAATGGGTTAAAGCCACTATTCGCTCGGCAGTCTATGGGGTCGAGCTCAGCTAAGTGATGTGCAAGACGTTCGGTGACTGAACGCTGGTGGTAGAGACCGCGATATGGCGCTGTAGGTGTACTGTTGTCAAGCGTAAACCTAGCATTATGCTTTGACTTCGGTGCCATCTGGACATGCCGGTCGCAATGTATGACACCTTGGTCTACGAAAAGTTACTATTCCCTCAGACGCAGCAGGAGCCATTAACCTGGCGTTGCGCTGCTATATCATAATTCGGAGCAAATCAGCGACGAGGAGGGGCATTTTGCACGTCTGCTACTTCCCGCAGACCTGTAGACCGATCTAGAGAGCCCTTTCTTGAATTGATAAATTTTTTGACCAATTTGCTCTAGCTTCATGAGTTCACAGGTTTCACCAGGACTTGGTAAACCGGAACTAGTGAAGCAGGGAGGGGGGGGGTTGTCGTATTTGACCGCGAGCGAGGAAGGTCGTATTCGGTCTTTGTTAAGAGAGGGACTGCCAAACATCTATACAACTATTATTTCCGATGATAGTTACATCCTGACGACCCCCCCCCCTCCCCCGCCCCGCTCGACGGAAAATTCTTGGCTGAAAAACTGGAAATTTTTCGGGAAAAAATGGAAAAAGTGGTAGGAAGTTGGGAAAATCTAGGAAAGTGGTAGGTAGCATGGGAGGGAGGGGGTCGTATTCGAGGATAGAATCAAGGGAGGTCGTATTTTTCAGGATATCGTCACAATGCGATGGAAAGCCCTGATCGGCACAGGCCGCTGCTGTTTCGAACGTATAGAAGAGCGTAAGAGTACCAGACTGTTTGGATTGAGCAACGCGTACCCTCACATTCCCTTATATTCCCTCAGAGGAGTGGCGGTCGGCGCGACGACGCTGGTTACAGCGCGTTGACGCGCGCCACTGCAACTGATCGCTGCCCAAGCACACACAGAATTCCTCTTCTTTCAGAATAGGCTTATTGAAGCAATTTTGTCATGATGGGTAAAATCGTTGATCTTTGCTTCTCCCCTACAAGCATCCATACAAACGCAAAGTTTATTTGAACTGCTTCGCAAATTACAATGGAATTAAAATATACGGCTTATCGCTTTTCGGTTGAATAAACACTAATTCTTGATATTCATTGTTATTTCTTTCACAGGAAACCATTTTCAGACCTTGGCCATGATGAATACGTGTGCAGAAGTGTTGACTATATCACTGTCTTCATTACTGTGCAGCTATCGAGAAGTGCTTTTGGAACAAATAGGTATTACTTTTACAGCATTCTCATTCTTTGAATGCTCTAAGATGAGAAAGCAGAAATGCAAGTGGCTTCCTGTTCAATGGTTAGGCCACGTTCATAGCGGTTTCCTCTCTCGCGCGATTGCGACTAACCGCGCTCCTTTGTTAGTCACCGGACAGCTATAACAATTGCAAGCATTCCTGTCGTAACTTTTTTGAATCAGCGATTGCCGTCTAGCGGCGAATCCAGTGGGCCGCAATGAATGAACGCAATTGCACTCAGACGTGTAAAAGGGGGATGGGGCTCAACTCGGATGGAGAACTGGTATTGGAGCTATGGGTGGCTTAGAAAATCGGGTGCGACGAGGTGGTTATTGGAAGCCGTATCTTCCAAATAGCCGCTTACTGAGCAGTATGGAGTTATGAATTAAAATCTTTGGTTTGTCAACAGGAAACGGCTAGATCTCAAGAAATAGGAAAAGATCAGGGATTGGAATAGTCACAAAGTTTATATTTTGTGACATCTGACTGCAGCGGTTGAATTCATACAAGTGTACGCCTCGGTTTCGCTTTGAGCCATTGTAAGCGCTGTTCAATTTTTTGGATTTCAGAGCGTGCCATGAATGAATTCAATGTGTTAGCTCTGCTTGACCGTTGTGGATGTTTGGAGGCTCTGTGTACAATCTTCACTTGCCAGCCACCTCTCGTTGACATTTCAATTGAGTCGGACAGAATTCAAAACTTCGCCAAGGAGCTTATTGCTGTGTGCCAGATGCCTGTCAGTGAAATGCTTGAACTGTAAGTAGATCCTTCTTTCCTTCTTACCTTCTAACAGTAATTATCCTGCAAATGAGAGGGCGTGTAAAAGGGCGTTGATTGCAGCGCAGCCAGGCTAGCTTTTTCCGTCTATTGCTGTGAACTCCTCATGGCATGATTGGTGGAAGAGGCCTCTCTTACTGCGTTACAGTCTACTCTCCCTCACACGCCCTCTCATTTGCATGGCTAATGACTACAAAGTAGTTTTTGTGCAAAAAAGAATTTTCAGTGAACT